AGCCGGTCCACTTCCCCCCACCACACCCCCGCCCGTCTTCCCATCCCCCCTTAGCCCACAACAGATGGAAAGACAGACGGACGGACACACCTCGGCACAGCACATGTATCACTTACTGCCCGCGCTGGGTTCCCCTGGTCGATGGGGTTCTTGAAGTCGGTCCTCAGCTCGTCAAAGGCTATGATCTAGGGGAGGGGTGTGTGCCTGTCAAGGTTGGAGCAGCTACTTATGGTCCCCCACCCGTCCTTCTGTGGGTCAGTAATTCATACATGGGGCCATACCAGATGGAGCTTGCTGCAAAGGTGGAGAAACTGAGGCCTGGGGGGGGGGGACAGGGCCTGGCTCAAAGTCACACAATAGTCTGGAATGAGCCCTAGTGATGCCCAATACAGGCCATGTCCGCGATGCCTCCATCCAAAACGCCCAGAGGCCTGGGACACAGCCCCTGCCCGGGCAGAACCCCGAGCTTGGGAGAACTGTGACTACATTCCAGGGTGATCAGGGCTGCAGGGCACAGGGAGAGCCTAAAGTGGGTGCCTGACCCAGTAAGGGGGTGATGTGGGGTTCCAGCTGAACTGAATAGGTGTTTGGTGAACAAATGGGAGGGAGTGTCTCAGCAGGAACAGCAGGTTCAAAGGCAGAGGGCTGAGAGAATATTCAGGAAGCTACAGATTCCACAGGGCTAGAATGAAAGTGTGAGGCAAATGGGAAGAAATAAAATAGTGAAAGATGGGCTGGAGAGGTCGGCAGAGCCACACATGTGCCTTGCGAGGCTGGGCCCGATGATTGGACTTTAACATGAAAGTAATGGGGTGCCATTAAGGAGTACGATGCAGCAGAGTGGGGTGGTCAGGTTGGTGCAGAATTGATGGAGCAGGAATTACAAACTGGCTAGGAGTTCCAGCCAAGACCTACATGATGCTTCCTCTATGCCAGCAGGCTTTCTGTCTTTGAATTCATTTGATGCCTGCAACAACCTGATGTAGGTATTATCATTTCTGTTTTACAAATGAGGAAACTCGAGACAGAGTTAAGTGACTAGTCCAAGGCCACACAGTTAGTTGGTGGCAAGCTAGGGTTCTAACTCAGACTCTAGAGTTAAAATCCTTAACCACTTTATCATACTCAGACCAATGAAGAGACTGTTAAGAGTGTTTCCTTGATGGTGATCTGAGTGAAGAGAGTGGCAGTGGGGATGTAGAGGTGTGGATGGATTCCAGAGCTATTTAGAAGCCAGGCTCCAGAGGGCTTGAATAGCAAGGGAGTGGAGGCAGAGGGGCCCAAGGTGCTTTTGGGTGTTAGCGCACCTGGTGGGGCAGTATCCTCACTGGGATGGCGAACTTGGGGGGAGCAGGTGTTTGAGGGGACAGACCTGGGGGAACTGGCATGGGATGAAGGCTGGCAGAGGAGCCTTCTGGGGTCCCTTCCCCTCAGCAGCAGCCTTGCCATGCCCTAGCAGCCGACCCCAGATGGTTGGGAGGGAGAGAACATGGGCTTCCTGGAGGGAGATGGGACCATCTGGAGCAGCACCCCCAACTCCCTATTGACTCTGGGCAGCCACCTGCCTGCCAGACACAGCAACAGGGTCCAGCAGGGAGTGGAAGGGTGCTGTCTGTCTGCCCCAGAGCTGGCACCACCAGCAGGAGGCGGGTGTCTCGCCTCCCACCCCCTAGGCTGCCTGGCGCTGACTCAGCCTCCTGGAACAAACAATCCCCCAGGGTGACAGCTGACACGCGTCACTCACCATCAGGGTTGCCTAGCGACCAGTTGGGCCTGGGCTCAGGGTGTAGGGTAGGTCTGGGGTCCTGCCCTGGAAGGTTCTAGTTCTTACCAATTTGGATTGAGGACCACACCTCCTGTCCCTACCCTACGCCTTGAGCAGGCCCTGCTCTGGGCACTGTAACGTACACACTACAAGCCCATTTTACCAACCAGGAAACAAAACTCAGAATGAGGGACTTGCTAAGATCACCCAGCTAGATAGCTGAGCCAATACAACGTCTGACACATAGTAGGTGCTCAATAAATATTTGTGGAGAAAGCTTGGGCCCTTTCTCCCAGCTTGGGAGCCCCACAGGGCAAAGCCTGAATCTTACTACCCTTGACCTCCCCAAAGCTGCCCAGAACTGGTTCTCAGGAAGCATGGATGCAAGTTAGTTGGATGGAGGACTTCTCTGAGGACCCACTAAGGACAGGGACCCCCCTCACATAGGGACTGTGGGAGGCCTCTGGATAGGGAGGGGCCCACAAGGGGTTTCTTGAATTCCAGGAGCCTTTCTCCCAGGAGCTGGTTAGCTCTGTGTGCCCAGCCTCAGTTCCTTCCAGTCCTCAGGACCCCAGCCCTCCCCTGCTCCTACCCCATAGGACGGTCAAAGGCTCAGATGAAATAGGAGACTCAGAGAGATCAAGATGGATCCAGGGGGAATGGAGGGAGGGAAAGAGAACAGAGAAAGGGGGAGGGGAAAGATGAAGCAACAGAGAGACCCAGAGAGAGAGAAAGACAAAGCCGGGGAGAGGGAGGGCTGGAGATGGAGTGTGTGTGTGAAGGTGCCTGGGGGGCTCACTCCTCACACAGGAGAGACAGTCTGAGTCCATGGAGTTCTGATGTAAGAGACAGGCAGCAGGGGCCGCAGGGGATGGCAAAGGAGAGACTGGTCAAGAGCCGGGGAGGACCACCGAGCAGGCAGGCAGCAGGTCCCAGGAAAAGCAAGGAGAGAGAAAGTGGGGAGACCAGGAAAGAATCAGGTGAGACAATGGGGAGGAAGTGAGAAGAACGAAGGAAGGGGGAACAGGGAAGGACTTGAAGGAGGTAAAGGGACCCCCAGAGGGGGAAAAGATCGGGGAGGCGTGTACTAGAAGTGCCAGCAGAGGATGCCGACTTGAGTGGGCCCGGGCTGCGGTGGGTCAGCTGTGGGAGGGGATCAAGTGGGGGCCGAGGAGGGACAGAGGTGGAGAGAGGGCAGTGAGGGGGGCTGAAGGCCCCAGTGAGCTGAAGGCTGACTGATAGTTCGGTATTGAGAGGAAGGGAGCCAGGCAGGGGCACCACTGAGAGGGCCCCAGAGAGGGGGAGAGGGACCCTCTCTAAGGAGGGCAATGAGGGTAAAGGAGTGAGAAGTGGAGATTCTCAAGGGCCAGGTGTGAGGCTGGGCCAGAGAGAACCGAACAGAACACCAGACAAAGGGGAAAGCGGGGGCGGGAAGAGGAGGGAAGCTGGAAAGTGGGGAGGAAACCTGGTGGGGGGAAGCCCTCACAGGAGGGGTAGGGAAACCCAAGGTGAGCTGGTGGGGGGGGGGCAGGTCTCTGGGGCTGCTTAGAGCCAATCACTGCTGGGTCAGGGAGGGGGTTGGAAGGGAAAGGGTTAATGGGCTCTGCGATCTGTGGGTCCTGTAAACAGATGCAGTTGCCATAGCAACCAGCTCCATCACTCTGGCTGGAAAAACCCACAAAGGGGGGGCGAGCAGACAGACAAACTGCTGGACGGAAACGGGGGCAACTGGATGGTGGTGGGGGGGTAGGAGCATAAAGAAGCAAGAACCCCAGAATTCCACCCCACATCCCAAGGCTGCTTGGGCAAGAGAAGGGGGTCAGGGACTGACTGACATACCCACAGAGAGGCGGGGGTGGTGGAGGAAGGGGGGCCTCCCTGCGAAGGAAGCCGACGGTG